TTCATGAAGGAGCGGGACTTATTACTCTTAGAGGCAATATTAATAGATCCATCCAAAATCGCTCATGGAACAGATCTATTGATGTTGCCAAGATCCTTAGCTGAAAAATGAGCAGAGAAACTTGAATCTGCAATGTAGAATGCTGCCATGAAATGATTACATTTTGTGGCACCTAAAATGCTTTTATCAAAGGATGACTTGACAAGACATCAAGATAGCTAAATGCTTAAGACTGCATGTCAGTCAAAAACTTACATGTATTATTCAAGGTGCAGACTGAGCTTCAGTGAGGCAAAGGGAAAATACCAAACTAAGGCTTATGGAGAGTGTGTTTGTGCAAAGATAGGAGATATCTTTTGCAATCTAAGTACATTCATTCTGCTTCTTGGGCTAGATGCACTGGGTGTGACTTAGCCAACTGCATGGGGAATTAATTTAACCTACAGTGTCTAATTCAGGAGGTGCAGGAAATACATTGTCTCAGCCTGGTGTGGTTCCAGGACCCAGTCAGCTCTGTGCTGGTAGCCCAGCAGCTAATGGCTGCCAGTTGTAGTATGAAGTAAAAGAAATGGCTGCCATCAGGAAAATGCCTTTTCTTTCCAACAATAATTGCTCAGCTGCAATTCAGATTTACCACAATGACCCACCACTTGAGTGCTCTCACAACAAAGGAAGGTACTCCCCTACCCCCACGTTTTGGAGCCCTAACACCATAACTTACCCATTCAGCATTTCAGTGCATATCCTGATCTTCACCTGCTTTGGGATGGCCAGGAAATAGAGAGCTCACATTTTCAATTATCCCCAAAGAACTGGTGTAGCTTTTTTCTGTGATTAGCTCTGTACACAGACTTGGCTGCTGAGCACAGCAATGGTTGTCCAGAACACACAAGTCCTGCTCAGGAGAGGGATGTGCAGCTGAAACCATCACTGATCTTTTTTCCATCATCAGAGCTTTACAAAAGGCATGAGCCATATTCTCTTCTGTAAAACACCAGAATCAGACAATCAGACTCTAACTAAACAGCAAAAGCAGCCTTTCTACAACAAATGAACAACTAGAAGAGACAATGTATCTCTAAATCTTTATGCTTATACACATCTATATATGCTTTTTAACTATGTCAGTGTCCTAAGTGTTGGCTAAGAAGCCAAGGAAATATGCATTATACAGTCCAGAGCTGGCCTTTATAAAATTCCCAGTCATTCTATTGACATTGTTTCCTACAGACCTCTCACAGCATCTGACACAAAATGATTTTTCCTATGGAATTGATCAAAATAGTGGCAAAAGTAACGCAACAAAGAATCAGGGGAATAATCAATGACAGCAGAGTCCAAGCTTGGGAATAACCCATCACCAGTCACACAAAGAGGAAGAACAAATGCTTTAACTCCTTCCCTCTGTGTGGCATCACCTGAGAAAAGGACAGGGTCAAATTATTGTACTGTTAAAACCAGGAGTGAAACAAAGGCAAACACAGCTCATGTTTGAATTGCTGTCTCCTTGCAAGTGTCTAATTGTGTCTACGCCCAAAGGGTTTGCAAGGCAAGAGTGGGAGCAGAATGACAGAGAACTGCCTTAAAAATCTTAAATATGCTTATTCAGGGGGAAAAAAGCAAATTTTCCTATAGGGCACAGGTATCAATTAAACCTTCCAGTGGGGACATCTCCCTTGTGCTCCCAGCATTAGCATTGGCTATGTTACAGAACTCTATTTACACCTTTAGTTAATATGAATGAGCAGTTACCATACCAATTATTACTTTTTACAGTGTACATAAAGTTCTTGATTCAGTTAAGAGACAGGGTCAGTGTTTAAGCTGATCTCAGCATTTAGCAAGCTTTCTTTCCTAGATGTTTTGATTACTTAGGAAAACTTTAACCTCTACAATGTAATGAAGGACTGGAAAGTTGTAGGGTAATTTGTAGGAGAAAGGGTGTGCATGAGGATATATGCACTATTATAAAGCTCAATAAATAATCATGTGAAATTGCTGGCATTTAGGACCCTCTAGAGGGGAGCTTTCCCAGCCGGCTGCTGATCCCTCATACCCTGAGTAATTCCAGATTAAATCCACTGATTTTGTAGAAGTGTATGTGACATCAGAAACCTACCATGTATTTCCAAAATGCATGTTAATTGGCTCCAGACAGTGGCAAGGGGATTGTACGTGGCTACAACCATGGAGCTTCAGCTCCTCCATCCCCAGGGTGGCTCAGAGGGAAAGTGGTGCAGAGCTCAAACGGTCAGAGCTGTGGGAATGATGCAAGATGTCTTCCACTTGCATTTTATTGAGAGAGCCCATAAAATTCAAAATCCAGCTGTGCAGGTTGGTTCAGTCTGCCTATTAAGAGGGCGGCGTTTTCTCATGCCTGTGATTGATATGGTTTAGGCACATCTGTGTACTCGCTTAACCCCCTTCCCTCCACCCTCTCCAGCTCAAACCACTGCCTAGACAAGAAAAGTGGGAATTTTGTCTTTTGCACATGAGGGTAAAAAACGCTTCTTGACTTCCACTGAAGAACAATAATTGCTGGTTTGCTTTGATTCCCTCTCAATGCTAATTTTCCCTGGTTTTTCTCAGGGAAAACATGGAAGTCCACACCAGGGTAATCAGACCTTTTTCTTTCTTCACCTCTAAGGCGTAGGAAAGAGGCAGCTTGGTAAAGTGACCCGGACACGTGTTACAACAGATAATCAATGGCTCTGGCAAAATGCACATGAAAGCATTTCAAGCCCATGTTTCAGTAAACATTCTCCAGAATCTGTGGCTATTTATCAAATATGAATGCACTCTTCAGGATGAGGATCTCATTTCCCTCAGTGTTTTTGTTCCAAAAATAATTGGAAGTGACAATACATAGAAAGATGATGTTTCAACTTCATGTTTAAAATAAATATAAGGCTGTCATCAGAGCTGAGCTGTCTTGTGAAGATCCCTCTCACAGGAGTCAACAGGCAGCTCTGCTGATAGAGAATCGTGTTCCATTATTGATTAGCTTTTAAGTTCTTGTTACATATTAGATTAGGATCGCTGTATGCATAGGGAATGAATAGCCCAATTACAGTCTAAAATAGCTCATCTCAAAGTGGTTTAGGATTTTGATATTATAGAAAGAATTTTAAGGAAATTACAGGGTTTATTAAAAAAGCCTTTAAGGGAGATATTTACATTTTTATTGCATGGCTTTTCAGGATGGGGAGGGCAAACTATTCCTCCTTATATTACATACCAGGCTGCCTTTAGCTCCCTCCCAATTAGCTTTTCAAATCTTTGGGAGTTAGGGGTTTGCTATATGGGGAGCAGGTTTCCTGCACAGAAAGTACCAGACTAAGCAACCCCAGAGTTACATTTCCAGATTCCCCCAGTTTAAGTGAGAGCACCTTACACTGAAATCCATACCAGGCTCTGCTCTGAGTGCAGCTGCTGAGACTCCATGGCTTGTTTTGGAGTCAGTGATGGTTCCCAGCAAAAGCTGGCATTCAGATGCTCTGCTACTTCTTACTCTTTTGTGCAGGAGGGAAAATCTATCAATGGTGCTCAAAGAGTCACAGATCCCTGCCCTGGCCCTCAAGGGCACTGAGCATTGACCACAAGTAACTTGGAGTAGATTCAGGGCTGATCAAGCACATCCCAGTTCTCAGCAAAGGCACCAATCCCAGTGACTCCTGTGGACACAGGGGCGGCACCCTTATAATGAGGTATTCCTGAGAGTGCTGCTTACTCTGCTTTGGTGTTGTCAATTTTGTAAGACTGGAGCAATTCTAGGGATTTACCCTTAATTTTCAAAAACAAGTAATGTTTTTGCTAAAATCTAGTAATCTTGAGGACAAGACATTTTCAAGACTAGGTAAGCAAAGCCATAGCTGAGGGGGTACAGAAGGCCAAACTCAAACCTCAGCTCCCCATATCTACTCATCACAGCACTGACAATATCACATTTCACAGGTTTTGTTTCCTATAACAACCCCAGATATTTTGGTATAGAAAGCAACCACCCTTTTTCTACAGAGAATTTCTATCCTTCGGTGAGGTGGAACAGTTTTAAAAATAGATCCTCAAATTTGCCTAATTAATCATTCCCTTCACAGGTTAATTCGAGGCTAGCATTGACCACATCTCCAACAAAGCATGGAAAAGGTCACCAGAAATAGATTGCCAAGGCCTTGAAGGGACTCTGTGGACAAATGGTTGCCACTACCCAACACTATAAAAGTGTGATTAAAGGTAAAAGGAAGAACCAGGTGGGAGTGTTGCATGACCCCAGGATCGCTGCCAATGAAAAAAACACAGTGAAAAGATTTAGTAAGGCCTCCAGGCCCACTGACTCACTCCTTTTGGAAGGTAATATATGAAATCTTTAAGGAAAACTTCTGCTCACTGAGTTGTACAGCACCAATAGATCCATAACATTCATATTAGTCTGCCACATAAGAAGCTCAAGTTTCCCTTATTTTTCCACAGCTGCAAGCAACACAAGCACATGGAAGGCTTCCCTTCAGGAATGAAAGTCTGAGTGCTCATATAGGTGTGCACACGGGGTCACACTGGCCACTCAGGTCAGACATCTCTCTTCTTTGCCCCTCCTGAACTGTATGCTAACATATCCACATGAATTTACAGTGCCTTTCTAAATAAGGACCCATTCTGTGAGGTGCTCAGTACAACAGTTTAATCCAGGGAAGTATTTTTTTAACTGAGGCTGCTCACACATGTTTAAAATTAAATGGTCTCAGGGCAAATTGCCTTATGCCCTACAGATGGACACTTGCTGGCTGTGAAATCCAAAATACAGATGTCTGCTCCACTTTATGTATATCTGCAACTTAATAGGGAAATCTATATCTTCATACAGGAAGAGTAGAGGTGAACTTAGGAGGAAAACTGGTTGTCTTGAGCTCAGTTATTTTTTGAGCTTGGGGACACTCCTATCCCAAGTGCACAGCTACAGCTGCAGATCCCCATTACTGGATGGTGGACATGTCTGATGGACATCCAGAAGGAGTGAAAAGAAGCTACATGGACCACATGAGAGATGAATTGCTGCATCAACCAGTTGTTCTTCAGTTTTTTAAGTTGAAAGTGACTCTTGGTCCAGGACACTGTGTGAGGAAATGTCTTCAGAAGTTCACTGGGTTTGCATCCTGCTCCTAGGAATTTTACCATTTGGTCCATGAAGACAGGCCCAGGGCCAGGGACGTGCTCCTGCCACACTGGTGTCCTGCACAGTGACCTGTGTAGGGACTGGGCAAAGCTCCCGTGCCTTGGTCTGCTTCAGAAGCTTCTCCATCACTCAGCAGCTCTGTTAGTTCCTCCAGATTCTTATGTCTAAACATCCACTTACTCAGCCTACAATGAGGATGATTTATGTTAGACAACAAAAATTTTAGAAGCAAACAGCCCAAGCTGACAAATGCACAGAGGATGTGCTTCAGTCTCATTAAAGTTCCATGTGTTTGACAGTCTATGTGGTCCATCATCTGCATTAAATAACTTGCACAGTACTTACCTGTCCAAGTAGAGACTGTGCTTTGTTCATAGTTGTACATTTTGCAGCCTTTAACCAAGACCAGAGTGCTCTCTTAAAAAAAAAAATTATTTTTATCATTATCATTATTATTATCATTATCACTGCTATTGCTAACACTGCCTTATGCTTAGAAATGGTCCTCTGCTTTCCTTTACTTCAGTAAAGCAAGAGCAATTATGTAGCTTCATCCATTTCTCTAAAGGGCTGTGTGAAAAAATTGTTGCTTTCAAGAAAAAAAAAAGATAATTTTTTACAAATACATAAAATAAAATACTCAAGGCATTTTTGAGAGGCATTTTCACATATTGCTGAAATTACACGCAATGTGTGAAAATTTGCATAACAAATGTGACAAGATGGTTACTTAAGGGACTGAAACAGAAGGAATAAAATATATATTAGATACCTCAGCTCTCATTAATTATTATTCTGAATGAGAAATAATGCCAGGAGCAAGAGGGGTGCCAGAAGAAGCGATGGGGAAATATATTATCATGTATCTAAAATTCTTTAAAAGGTGTAATAATAATTAGGAAATTATTGCGCTACTGATCTTTTTTAGTAGCAGAGCAACCACCTGTTCACACTTTTATTAATTGGTTGCTCTCCTCTTCCGTAAAGATGGTCTGTGAAGATTGTTAAAGGAAAAGCAACCTGAGAAGAAAGGAGGAGAAAGAATTCATGTTATGCAAGCAAAAAAAAAGTCCCTATAAAATTCATAACTTTAATTAAGAGTCACAAGTGGAAAGGCAGTACTACTTTAGGACTGGTTTATAGCAAAACATAATTTGGCTTCAAACAATAGCGATGGAAGAGAGTGAATGTTATTAATGCTGATTTTGTTAATTTACTCCAAATGTCCTGCCTCTCCCAGCTTTTCTTCCCAGTGTCAGTGGTGCAGACATGGAGCTAAGGCAGCTCTGTGCCCAGTGCTGGGGCCAGGCGAGATGGTGGCCACAGGAGCCCCGGGCTGATCCAACCGTGGCCTGGGGTGACCCACAGTGGCACGTGGTCTCAGGCAACACCCCCCAGGTGAACCTGTTGCTAAGCTGGAAAACTGCAGCCTTCCTATTTTGGGGGATAATGCCAGTTAATGTATGTTTGTTGCCAGACATCCATCTCCTGGATCACACTGCCACGTGCTGCTCAGGCCCCCACTGCTCCCCTCATTCCTGCTTGCCCACAGATGGAGATGAAAGCCCGGAGGTGTCCTGTGGCTGCATCGATCCCTTCCCTGCCACTGCTGTGGGAAGGGGCACAGCACAGCAGAGTCACCATGGGTGTTTGTGCCCACCGTGCTCCATAACTATGGCAGGCAATTTTGCAAGCACTTCCCATTATTCCCTCCTTTAGACTTTGAAACGTTTACACTTTATCTCTCCTAAAACACAGAAACCTTTTTTTTCTGTCAGCCTCTTTCCTTCAAATCTCCTGTGGAAGCAGCACAGAATTTCCTGTTTGCTCCTTGCCGCAGCCAAATCTCGTTTTAGGTTTCCCAAAAGCTTTTGTCTTGGCCTTCCCCAGAATCACCATCTCCCACAGACAGCGGCTTTGCTTAAAAGCAGAAGTGCATGTCCATTTTCCCTGTTACTCTCCCTTATGTTTCTTTGTTTCTATTCCCTCACTTGAACCTCTTCTCTCTCAGCTCCAGTGTTTGGAGGCTATATCCTTGCTGTTTGCCCTAGGGCATCTCGTTGGAAGGTGGTCCTCTGCCTGTATGCTCCATCCAGGAGCTGCTGAACTCAAAACTGAGTCCAGATGGCCACAGTATTGGCACCTCCACCATTGCCATCCCATTTGCCCAGTCCACCCTCACATGGGAGTGGATAAAGTAAGCTCAGTATGGTCGGAAATAGGTGAGAGCAGAACATCTGCTATGCCATGGCAATCTTAACTTCCCAAATACCTGTTACCTCATCATCCTGGAAATAACTCGATTTCCTGACATCCCTTTGGAGCCCAACAGCTGGGGCAGGCAAGCTGGAGGGGGAGGGAGGTGGAGAGGGAGGCAAAACACTTTACCAAGGATCCTCTGCTGGTAAAAGACACAGGGTGCCAGTTCATTGTGCCATTTCCTGCTCCAGCTGTGAGAGGACCCCTGTGTTCTCTGTGGGCTCTGTGTGCCCTCACCTTGGCACCTACACCAGGACGAGCACCAGCAGTGGCTCCTGTGCAGGGCAGGGACCCCATGGCTCTGTCTCAGGGGGCTGGAAATGCAGTTTCACTGCACCCACCTCCCACGCTGAACATGAGCGCACGAGATAGCAAAAGATAAATCCATTTAAAACAATTTTAAGAGGGAAAATAAGGCCCTTTCTGGGGATATTATTTCTAAGTCATGTTTTACTCTGCCATTAATATACTTTTGGAATGCATGAGAGCTCCCTGCACCCAAGGCAGGTAATAAAGGTCTATTAAAAGACACCATCTCTGTTTCCTAATGCTCTATCGAAGGTTCATTGATGAAAATAGCCATCTGGCTGCTCTCATCAGCTTTAAGGAATTCCATAAAAGAATGAAATATGATTTCCTCATAATTGCTTTTCTGTAAGATTTATGAGAATGTGAGTAACGAATAAACTGGGCACTTGCTGAACAAGACTCAGATTTAAGATGTGCTGATGCAAACGAGGAAGTGTCCAACTAGAAGATGCATTTCTTGGGAGAAATTTGAAAGTGTTTGCAAAAGCCACGAGTTACCACAAACACCTGGCTACGTTCACTGCTGGTATAAACACATACAGCTCCAGGGAGGCCAAAGGCACTGCACTGGTGTGCTCTAGCAGTAAATTTAGGTCTTGGACAACAGTTATGTGAACAGCTCACAGCTGAGAAGAGGACCTTGACAGCATCTGGAAGATGTCCTGGGTATAACTATGCAGCTGATTAAGCAGCAGCATGTTCTTTTGCCACCTGCATCTGATGATGTTGTATGTGCGGAGCACGTCACATGCTTGGGGGATAAAAAGCAGGCCCTTAATGCCTGGCAGCACTGTTCATGCTCCTGCCAACACTAAAAGTGGGAATGGACTGTGTGATTAGTGCTGTGGGATAATTAAATCCCATTTGCCAGCTATTCATCTGTCAGAGTGCAATGGTCATCGCTGTGCCTTTTTACTATTATGTCAATTATATGGTCCTATGACCTTTTGACTTCAGCATCATCTAAAGCATAGGATTGACACTTTATCTATTTCCAACTCTGATATTGGTTTTTGGTTTTGCCTAACTTTTTCAGTCTCCAGGACAGGAATAGTCAGAGAGTCATCTAGGTTGAAAAAGACCTTTAATGATTCCTTGCCCAATTTCATTGCCCTTTAGGAGGCAATCACATACTACAGATGTAAGTGCCACTTAAATACTTGTAAACATGCCTGTCTCACTCTGTAGAAAAGGCAGTCATTACACTCTCATTCAATGCAAGCAAACTATTTAGTCCTGTGCAGTGAGGGTCTAAAATTGCTAATGGATGCCCGTTTCTGAGGGTGCTCCACCTCTATGAGTGTTTGAAATGCCCACCTATGTGTCCCCAGCAAGCTCAGGGGTATCCCAGTCCCATACAGAAGTTGAGAGGAGGTGGTGAGCATTAGCTGGTCAGTGCTAGAAGATGTGAATAACCTGAGGGTAGATGCTTTTCTGAGTTTTTAATCTAAAAATTTTTGAATCTGCCAAAGTTTGAGTCTGTACATGTCTCTCAAGCAGCCTCTCCCAAGCACTTTCTCTCAACACTTTCTCTCTTTACAAACACATGCATTTTAACACTTGCAGTATGCATATATTTGGGTACTGTACCCAGAAAAGCTAGTAACTGGCATCAAAAATTTTGCTACACTTTTTTACTAAATTTTACTAAATATTTGAAATTCATCACAACTGTAAGTGAGAGCAGAGTATGAAAGGGGAAGAGCCAGCCATTCTGGTAAGAGTCAGTGTTACAGCCACGGTTTTAACACCCCAATTATTCATTCTGCTGCTTCTTTTTTATTTTTTTTTTTTAGCTAATTACATCAATAAGACTTTATGAAAACTGTTGCCAAATGTTTAAAATTAGAGCAGTTCAGTTGTTATTTCAGTCCCAGGTTACTGAGGCAAATTGTACATGCTCACCTCGTGCATTCATTTGTGAACATTGGGCATATCAGTGATTAATTAATATTAATGGCAGAAATCACTTCAAACTTGCTTTATGCTAGAAATCACACACAATCTTGACTCTAATCACTCAGCACATAAAGAAACTTTAATTGATAACCCAGGTTTAATATCCATCAGGAATGGATTCTGTAGGAGGAACAGAGCAATGTTCCCTGTAATCATCCTAGAGGAGATAGAAAGCTTGTTCTACCAACATCAAAGAAGATTAGGCAGCAGAAGCCTGATAGTAAAGTAGCAATTATGGAGGGCTTTTTTAATTCTGTGCACCTGCTTCATCAAAATAATAGGCATCTTTTAGCAAAATAACCTGAAACTCAGTTCACTGACTTTCAATTATCTGATGCTGGGAAATGCATCTGGAGAGACATGAAAAAAGGTGATAGACACACAGAGAAATAAAGAGAAGGGGGAAATTAGAATGAGGAAAAATATGAGGGCCTAAGTAAGTGAGTGTTATAAATATCCCGTGCCTCGGGCTGAATATAGAACAGGAATACTTTTGCTGAGTTATGACTGTGGCATCAGGCACATCTGACCAAATCAGTCCCTGGTGGAGCACCTGTGACTACAGCAAACAGCTTACCCTAGAGACAGATTTGGCTGATTGCTTTTAAGGGGAATTTTAGATAGCAAAACTTAATGCAAGCTAAGGAAGCACATGGTAACTTCCCACAAACACTTCAGGCTGTCTAATTCAAAGCAAAAATGACTATCCTCAAATTGCCCCTTATCAGGTGGTCTTGCTATGCAAAGCTAGGAATGACCACATAAGTTTCTTTCAAAAGGTGAATCTAAAGTTAGACTAGAGCCTGTCTTCCCTGGAGGTGAGAAGAGGAAGAAAGCCCATACACAGTCTTGGTTTCCTTAAGGAACTGCATCCCCATTTCTGGAAAAGCAAAAATCAGAACCAGATTTAAGAAGTCTGCCTGGGTTTTGGTACCCTTCCTTGTTGAGCTCTAAGGGCATTGCTTGTTTTTCAATACATCCCAATTTTTCCTGAAAACACTTTTTTGGAGATCAGTGGGTAATTCACTTCAGCATCTCATGATCTGCCACCCTGGTGCCTCCAAAGGCAGAGCATAGCAGAGTTCTAAACAGAGAAAAGCTGCATTACCAGCCCCATTACCAGGAAGAGTTCTTGCCAGGCTTGGGTCAAAAACAAAGACAGCACTTCTCCATCTTTTTTTCCAGCTTTACATCCCTGTTAAATTTACTGTGCCCTCTTACACACATCTCAGTCTCTCCTCCATTACATACAATCACCCACACCTCATTCTGACTCAGAAATGATCCCCACATGGATGCAGGTCAGGAGAGCTGCTCTCCATTTTATCTCCTGAACTCCTATCTCCCTGCACACATCTAGCAGATACTGCTCCATATGCTGGAGGCTGAAGCACAGGAGATCATGATGCAACAACCATGACTGGCAGAGGCTGATCCTTCAGCAAGACTCACAGCCACATCCCACTTCATGTGAATGAAATACAAGTCATTCCATTGTAATTAAATAGGAATTTTTGTGTGAATTTCAAATGAACCTTTGTAACATTTTCATTAGTCCTCAATACACCTCTTACTTTACCTCATTAGAATTATTGGTAATAAATGGTAGTAACTGAATTGTAATTAAATAGGAATTAAAATTTGACTTCCTAATGAACTACAGCAAAGCAATCACTATTTCAATATACATTAATTGCTGTTCTGTTAGGAATACAGACAACTTATTTTTATTGAATTGCTACAAATTATAATGAATATATGGCCTGAGCCTACAAAATGGTCTCACATCAGTAAGTGTGCCTGGTAGATATCAGACAGCTGTGCAGCAAGCAGATCTACCCAAGGAACTTGGGACTGGCAGCATGCTAATGCCAGTAGAGAATACACTGGATTATGACATTCCCAGAATAAACTTTCATTTCAGAACCTCGCTATTAATTTACAAACAGAACAGACAAGATGCCATTGGGGCTGCCACTGGGGAAGTGGACTAAAAGGTGTGAGAAACCAATAGCAATAATACCGGACTAGTGCATTTTTGTGTTATTGGCCGCTGTTTGATTATAATAAAAGTGCTTTGTAATATATCCTGGAGTGGTAAACTGCATATAGAAACCCCCATTTTATTATTTATACATTCTGTCTCTGCATGTAGAAATAGATATAATATATGAATGAATAAAATTTCACTTCTGTGACTGTTCTAGATTTAAAAGCCACAGAGTGCTGTTTCCTTGTATTACTGTTGTGGATGGAGCAGGCGTTTGGTGTAAGTGTAAGCTACGAGAGGCATGTCTGTAAAAGGGAGTCCTGACTATTTAACAGGGGCTGGTGTCCATACTCAGGGCAGACTTGCTGGTTTAGTGGGATGAGTGGGGGAGAGAACCCAAAGCTTTCTGTTGTCACTCTGAAAGCTGGCAGCAGCCTTCCATCTCCAAAGTGATGGACTCTGGACTGAATTCTTCAGGCTTTAACAGAGTGTGAATTCCCCCATCAACTACTGAGGAGTTTTTTCCATCCAATTTCTGGCCCATCATGTCATCTCATGCTGTTGATTTCTAGGGGACAGCAGCAGCTGGCCATCACAGACATGGGACAGCCAGTTCCTTTGGCACAGCATGAGCTGAACACACTGATGTGATCACAGGGTCTGTCTCAATGTGGTTTTACATGCCCTGAAACATCCTCATGACTCCATTTTTTCACCATTGCTATCATTTTCACTCTCCTCATCCTGCAAAGTGAGTGTCTGACTGACATTTACAATCCCTCTGGATTTCCAGACCCAGCAGGTGAAATTCAGAATCAGGCTCTGGGATAGGAACTGCGAGAGCCAGTCATGTGTGGGCTTGGGAGAGGGCAGCTCACTGCTTAGGCAACCTTGTTATACTGAAATTTAAATCAGAGATTGAACGGGGAAAGCAAACTCACTTTTTCAATTTTGTTACCTAATCAAAACTCTGAAGCTTTCTAGTGCTGGAGAGTGTTCACATATCATCCACTTTCCATATCCAATGCTGACAAAACAATAAGGCAGGAATAACATAAGTCGTGAGAAAACTAGTCTGTCTCATAAATCTTCACAGGAAAGTGGCTGCTGTTTTATGTTATTGCAGTGTGTTGTTTCCAATGAAGTGATTACTGTTAGATGTATTTTTAAATTGCTTTTGGTATTTTTAAAAATACATGACTTTGAGAGTGATAGAAATGAGATTGAGTGGCGGTAGGCAGTGCCTACAATATGATTAACTTTTTCCCAGACCAGCTACTTTGGAAATTAAGGTTACCAACACAGCTGTTGTCAACTTTCCCCTGGCTGAAAAGGACTCATTGGAGTCTGTTTGATGTGTGCAATTATCCTACAGCCCACCTAAATCCTCCTCCTGCTTCAGACACTACTCGGGCTTGCGTTCTGCTTCGAGTTGTTTGATTAATATTTGCTAGTGTTATTTTAAAGTGTGAATGTGCATGTTTATGCACTAAATCCCTGTAACACAGAGTCTCAAGTTACATCCTGTTGTGACTGACAAGTTGTGGTTTCTGTCCATGGAGGGGAGGAACCACTTTGTGTGTTAACAGCTTCAACCAAGGCACACACGCTTCCAAAAAGGCTGAGCTATGTTTTAGATAAAGTTCATTTGGAAGACATTCAAGGCAATAAATATCAAGTGAGAGGTTTTCTCAGGGCTTTACAAGTCATTAAAACTCCAGGTAGATTTTACCTACCAGAGGCTTCACTTGTGGCTTGCTGAGTTCACAGGGTCCTTTTCCTGCATATCATCGTATTCCTTCCAGTGGCTAATGAAGCCTGTAACCATCCCAGGGCCCACCTACAGGGTCCCTGTGTGCTCCACAGACCAGGCACTACAGGGTTAAGGTTGCTCAGACAAGAGGAGACTCAATAAGAGGCAAAAGGAAAATGAATTAGAGGAAAATCAACAGGCAGCAAAGGAAAAACTAAATTACATTTCATGTACACACATGCACTCTTTTGGCTGGAGGGGCAGAAAACATAGCCAAAACCTGGCTGTTTTTATTCTAAACAGTGCATCAATCCATTGATTAATTTTACACTTTGTTCCTTATGAACCTGGGCTGGGGCCATGAATACTGCTATGAAAAGAAGAATATAGCCAAAAAGGAACTCTTAAAAAGTTGGCAGCTGTTTCAAGGCAATGTGTCTGGCCAGCAGGAAGGAGATGGCTCCTCCAGGGAAGTGTATAGAGCTGTAAAACCATTTGTGAACTGGCCCAGTTCAGTTTATAAGGTGTGTGACTGACTTAAAGTCAAGTTTCTTGCACAAATTTGTGACTTGTAAATCGAATTATAAAAGCAGTCTTAAGTATCATTTTTCCAAAAGGGCATTACAAGATTGGTTAAGAATGACTGTATTTCCTCACTAATACCATTAACTTCAGAATTGTTTCCATCCATTACTGAGTAGAACAAGGACAGTTTACCGTAAATTGCTCCATGCTGTTTGGTTCAACTGGTCAGCTTCATGGTATAAGAAGCATAAATAAAACAAAACCAAATAAAGGAATACAATAAAACACCATGGACCAACTTCAGTCTTGGTGTAATCAAATGCAAATGGAAATTAATGGAGTTGCACCCACTCACACCAAGGCTGACACATCCCTTGGCCACAGAGCAGGGGGAGGCAAATGTCACCTCTATGTGTTGCTTCCCAGGAACAGCTATGGTGAGCAGGTGCAGGCTATGAGCTCGTTCCAGTTACCTGCTATCTGCTGCCTAGGTGTTTTCTGGAAAGCTTTATTTAGCCAGGATTCCTCTTTTGTAAGTGTGTATTCCTTTCAGCAGGGAATTATTTGGGAAATACCCTTAAAATCACTCCAGGGTAAGCCAAGAGTGACTTTCAGTAGGTGGAGATCTGTGTAAGATCTCAAGAAAATTGGATGGAAGGAGGGGGGAATTTTATCCATGATATATCTTACTTGTCATCCAGACCATGTTGCTTAGCACAGGAGAGGGACATGAGTTTCCATTTACAGGAGGTTCAGAAATCCCAGGCCACTGCTTATCTTGTTTGTATGAAGCAAGGGATAGCACGAATCCCACTTACTGACAGAGAAACTCACTTTCTGTAGAAAACTTACACAAAACCAGGACACCACTGCCTTAAAATAGGACACAGGGGTTTCACAGAGGCAATCTGACCATTCCCTGGATGAACACACAGCACTCCATGGCCACATACCCTCTGGCATCTGCCTGGGAGTTTGGCTCAATGGTGAATGCGACTTGTGATCAAATTTGGCAACTGCAATGAGAAAACATGGTATTTAGGTGACTTTCTAAGCCATTGCTCATCTAAGCCACAAAGCTGCTGCTGCTTTGGTTGTTCAACTATTCAATTTTCACACCTTCTTAGTGCCTACAACCTCAACATAAACACTTCTGAGCAAACAGGGGATCCAAAATCTCTGCACAGAACCAATTCTTTCCCTTCTCACTGTATTTCAGTGTTGCTAATTGCTAATTAATCACAGGCTTTACCCATCCCCCCTCTTGCCCAAGTTTTATGGTTGAAGTTTTGTTTGAACTGTGCTTCTCCCAGCTGAGCAGTGCTTGAGGGTCAACAGAGCTGTGCCATGTACTGTGAAAAGTGATGCTTCTTTTAAGGGGCCTCGTTATTGAAATAACGTTTGAGTTAATGTTTGGAAATAACTTTGAAATGAGGACTTGCACAGATTTGTTTTCTTAGTGCAGCAATTAGCTCCTTGAGCGGTGACTGGCTGCAGTACCTTCTGCCATGTCTGACACATTAAATAAATTTTGCACTCAGTTCATTAGTTGGAAATACACTTTGTAATACCTGCCGAGTTACAGGACACACAGCAAAGCCACAGTTCACTTCAACTAGAAAAATGAAGTCAGGTTTTGCTGCTCCTGCATAAACAAAAAAAGGATGAGGGGAAAAAAAGGTAAATAAGATACTGTTTTTCTTACCAGTTGGCTCAGTCCGCTTGCTTCAGAACACTACCCCTCTGCCTTGCTCTCTTTTTAATTATCAGGTTGTGATTCTCTCTTTCCCATAAAGTTGGACAACCTCAGCAAAATCTCCCATTGCTTCTGGTGGAAAAACACAGCATCGGTTATTTTTAATGGAAGTACAATGTCACAGCCTCAAGGAACAACTTTAGTATTTTTCCTGCCAGTCCAGCTCACTGTTGCAAGGAAGGTTGTTGCAAGTGGTCTGTTCGTCAGGCTGTCCCTGGGCAGGCAGCAGCCACCAGACACCTTTGTGGAAAGGTGGAAGCTGAGGCAAGGAAAAGTGTGGGTTGTTGTCCTTCATGCTTGCTGGATTCCAATCAGTGCATGGGGACAGACTGACAGCACTGACTCTGCCCATGGGAGATGGGGATGAACTGTGGAGGCAGCATCTGTTGATCCAACAGCATTTCACCCACCCACGTGTATGGAAACAGGACCATGGCTGGGTCTGCAGTTGTGCAGTGTGGATGGAGGGAGGGGCAGTCACTGCTGCTCTGGATGCAGAAGGTGGAGCTGTTACTGTCCAGCAACCGGTGCAGTCAGGGCCCTGGCCTGGGGCAATACAACATCCAGGATCTTACCATGCAGGGCATGACATTTAAAGAGAGAAGGGGACTTTTAAATACCAGTTAGCAGTTGAACTTAACTAGGGATGGCAGGGCAGGAGGATGAGGAGACCTTCAGAGCCTTACCCTGCTCTTCCAGCCTCATCATTCGAAGCAGCCCTAAAAACAAAGCCCAGATCCAGGCAACTTCAAGTACATCCTTGAGCTCAAGATTTCTTCATCCAAAGGATAGTCCTCCTTTCTTCAAAGATGCTGGAGCCAGTGACTAATGGTAACTAGTGAGGAAGCACTGTGCGATTCAGCCCAGAATGACGGGATGAATTTTGCAGAGGAAAACACCTGTAATTAAAATCCTAAATACATATTCAAGCATCAAAATTGGTGACAGGATTTTGCAGAAGTGAGAAGCAGTGATGTCAGCAGAGGCATCAAGGTGAACCCTGTTACAGAGCTGCCACCCTGAAACAGGCCTTGTGTGGCTTACTCCCTTTTTTTTGTTCAATCAGATTCCCCCAAGTAGAATTAAAAGGTTCAGCCACTGCAGGCCAGCTGCACTCTTCCCAGTCAACATGCCATGGATGACACAGGTCTGCTATGCAAAAAATGTAGTGTGTAAAGAAGAGGATAAAGGAGAGAAGAAATCTAATAAATACTCCATTATCTCCAGTGTATATTATGCAAAATTTGGCATGAAATCTTTATCTCACATAAACATGAAGGTCACTTATTTGTTCATTAAATTCTCCTCAGTCTGCATCATTATGCTCATAGTTTTTCTTATACTTAATATAGTAGGGGCCTGCCAAACTCATTAGACATCAGCTGATAAATGGATTTGAACTCACAATCTGTTAAAAATCACATAGGCACATTAGAGCAATATTTTCATGGCTTAGAGAGTGTATACATTTAAATCTTCCCAGAGAGGATTTTGAGCATTTTTGATCCAGTGCAGCAGACTCAACACATAATTCAAGTCTGCTTGCTGTAAAAATTTACAGGCTGGGATCTTAGCATCACTAGTCATAAATCAAAGCTGTGCACTTAAAAATGTGATAGTGGCAAAACTGTTGGATAGGGTGTAAACATCATCAAGCTCATTGCCATGCAGAACTTGCAATAATGGGGGAGATATTGTTAAATGTTGCATGTATTTTCAATGTTCTGGCAGAATTTGTACATATAATATATAACTCTGTGTAATTTCCAGCCTGGGCAAATCTCTGGATGAGGAAGAGCTTTCTGAAGTTGTCCTGGATTCTCACCTTAATGTCACGACTTCAAATAAGCTTTTACATGAAACGTGGACAGAAGGGAACATGGGGCATATTTATGCCATAGTTTATGTTTCACTTACTCATTGCTCTTTATTGTAATTTCCCCCAGCTGATGATAAAATGCTTATAAAGCATTGGGCTGATAATTTGCAGGCTCTCCCGCTGCTCTGTTTGTTATAAAGCTACTCATGTCTCCAGGAGAGTCTTTCTTCCTTTTGGATTTATGAGCCTAATGAACCACTGTTATTCTCCATCACAGGAGCCAGTGATGCTGTGACATTATAGCAGGAAGATTTGAAAACTTACGAGAAAGCACTTGAAACAAACTGCTGCTCTTAATAAGTGCCTCTTGTCTTCAGTGTGGTCTGAGGAAGATCTAAGTGAGCTAATGAATGATAAGAACAAACCAAGTCCTGCAGTAACCCTGCAAGCTCTGCTGCAGGGTAAGCAGTGCTAGTGAGACAAATCTTCTGCTGGGATGAACACTATTTATCAGTGGCAGGCTGCTGATACACAGCTCCACTGACAGGCCCACTCTGCATACAAGAGCCTGAGTCCTCAGGTCTGCTTAGATTCTCCAGATGAGGGTTGTTGGATGTATAAAAGTAAATACGATTAAATTTAGCTGCAATTAAATTTAACTTTCACCTTACTGAAAGGCCTTTCACTGGAGCTCGCCTGGTTGACTAGGCAACCTTTTGCCCCCTAGGTGCTCTAGATTCACTTAACATATCTTTTTCCAGGGCTGTTCTTGACAGTCGCCAAATTCATATAATTTCAAACCAAAGAAGTGGAGTTGGGGGAAAAGGGATCACTTTCTGAAGACCAGCTGCAGACTGCTGGTCACCTTGTAATTTCCATAAAGGAGCCCATTTCTGCCTACCACAGCAGGACACAATGCAGAGAAAGGCACTACCATGGCTAGGCCAGTCCCAGGCTATTTAGGAAGTTATAGGTCATAGCCCACACCTCCATCTCCACTCGGAGAGCATTAAGAAGCTCATGTAAAACCTGGAGCACATGATTCATTGACTCCCAGTGAGAAGCCCACAGCTAAAAGCATGTACTATTCAGAGCCCCATTGTATAACCTGCTGGTATCAAAGAGACTTCTTGGACCCAAAAATTTACTTCAGCCAAAAAAGCATGGAGAGCAGAACAGAAGCGAGTTGCTCAGTGCTCAGCAATAAGTCAAGAGCAGTGCTGGACGTGGAACCCAGGAGTCTTGGCTGGGAGTGCAAGTGAGACACCAGAATGCTCTGGCAAGGCTTCTGCTGCCTTTGGCTGTTCTGCTGGATTCCCAGAGACAAGTGGGTTGAGCCATTTGAGCCATGCTGCATGTTGGGGCAGAACTTGAGAGGCTGCCAGTCCCTCCCCACCCTAAATGTCCCTGCCTGCAGAGCCAGCTGGCTCCCACAAGGCTCCAAGCAGTGTCAGACAGCTCCTCCAGAGAAGGCTGGTCAGGGCTCACCTGTAGGGTCACCCTGCACCATGGGCTTCTCTGACAGTCTTGTCATACCCATTGTTGTCCAGGGTGGATGCTAGAGGTGGCTGGAACTTTTGTCTGCAGGTGAGCAATCTTGCCAAAACAATGAGAGCTTCCACCACACACGATGCTTGAGCATGCTGTCAACTCTGCATTATTCATAAAAACTCTACTGTCTCCACTTACTCTGTAATCATCACATCTTTCATCATGGTACACATATCTCAGCAATTGTACACATTACAAAACCACCAAAGCATAATGGGAAACAATGACATGCTCCTTCTTTTTTATTTCTGTGATTCAGTGGGATTGGGAACTCAGTGCAATACAGATCATTTAGCCAGCAAAACACTAGTGGAAGATGTATAGTGACATGCCAATCAGTGCTTTGAAAAGCTCAACCTAGGTGACTCTGTCTGTTAAAAAGTATTCAAAAGACCCAATTACAATCAGTTAAAAGCAATAAGCATGCAAATTATTTTAAAACAAACTTTAATTAATTTCAGCATATGTTTCACTTAGGCTGATTAGTCAAATCTGATTTTCTGAAAAGAAAAAATAAACATCTGCTAATGATGATTTACATATTACCACTCACATGGCCTGCAGTGTGTTCTGAGGTTCTGCACAGCACAGGGAAGCGATGTCGTGCTGTACCCGAGACCCCCAGGCTGCAGCCACCAGGTACAGAGAGCAACAAAAATGATTCTTTGATGAAATGCCTAGACATGCCCTAAAAGAACATGATGGTGTTGGTATGAACAACCATCCCAGTAACGACTTTCCTTTTTGTTAAGGGCTCTTTGGGCGAAAAACAGGTAAAGCAGCTTGAAGTCTGGGCTTGGGAGACCCCAAACTGAAGCTCTGCACAGCCTGACCTTGGTACAGGCCAGAACTTTGAGATGCCAAGAGAGAAGCTTTTCAGGCAGCTGCATGCAGAATAACAAGGGCTTAACCTATTGTTCAGACCCCATTTCCCTCTAAAACCAGTGGAAAAAATTATCATTTGCAATAAACACATAACTTACCCAACACAAACACTTATTCTCTGTTCATTATATAGGGAGACAGGATGTGATAATCCTGCATAGGCTAAACCCTCTTTATGCCCAAGAGTCCATCATGGGAGGCCTGAATACAGCCCCCTCATACCTTTGGGCCTGAATTTCATGGTAATGTAAATATTTAAAAGTCCATGGCATTTTATATTCACAAGGCTGATAATGGAATAGCTTTAATATCCTTACAATGCCAAATCCAGATTAACACAATAACAGTGGCTCCCAAGCAGTTTATTAGCACTCATACCTGATATGTAGAAATCCTGGAGGGGGAAAAAAAAAAGGAAAAAAAAAGTCCTGCCAACATATACTGCACACAGAGCTCCAAGATGTTGTATTCCAAGAGTTATTTCAGTTGTAGAATCCACGTGGCACCATTACTTGGCATGAAGAGAGGATAAAGAGAGAATGGTCTATGACAGGTGTTGCTTTAAATATTTTGAAGATATGCATCAGGAATAGTTCATAAAAGTGCTTCCAAAGTAGCTCTTACACCCACTGGGTTTGGCAGTCCTCACTCTTAAAAAACATGAACTTGGCGCAGTAGTCCCCTAAATCTTTTAAACTAGCTTAATCCTCCCAGTAATGAAACGTGCAGTCAGCTAGATGGGTGCATTTATCTGAAACTCACTTATTTACAAGCAACTAAAACATGAAATTAGCTGGTCCCGGAAGGCAGCTTTGTACTTCCCAACTCCTCTGCTATCATAAATCAACCCGTTCAAGAGGGTGCCACATTTGTTTTTCCCATTCTCACATTCTGTATGAACAATCATTCCCCA